ATTCCAAAATTACAACCAAAAGCCGCACAATGTGGCATGGTATCAGTATTCTGAGTTGTGTTGCGGTAAAATTAAAAGATAGCGCCAGTAGCTCCGAGTGCAACCATTTAACGTCATTGAAATAATGGCACCCCCCATAGTCCAAAATATGTACACCCATAGTCCAAAATATGTACAAAACTATGTGGATTTTTTAAATAATGTAAATTCTACTACATATTTCAGTAAGAGACATCATTTACATTATATTAAGCCATACAAGTCTTAATACCCGGGGTTGCCTTTAATATTACATTATTACTAGGGCTGCCCTTGACTAAAGATTTTTCTGGTCGACTAGTAGTCGTTCATTTTAAGCATTAGTCGACTAATCGCACGTTTATTAATAAACCATTGGTTTAATAAACCATACAGACAAGTCAACTTGTTGACTAAACGGATGTGACGAGTGGGGCGGGGCCGAGAGCCGTGGGAACGGAGCGAGGCCGGTGGAGTTAATGATAATGCGCGACACCTGCACCACTCACCGGTCTCGAGTCCCGCGGAGGAGCTCCGGAAGGATAAAAGGAGGAGTGACGACAGTGAAGGACGAGGTAGGACCAGGCCTGGATTTTATTTTGTGTTTTGGTTCTGTTTGTGCGCGGCAGTCGTCCGCGAGGGGCTGTCGTGCTATTTTCAGTTGTGCGTTTATTTTATTATTAAATTGTTTAAATGTTTGCCGGTTCCCGCCTCCTTCTTCCCGAACTACGAATTGTGTTACAACGGAACTGCAGCTGATAGTGGACATTGGAAATAATAGTCGACTAGTAATTAGTACCACAGACTCACAATGTTCACACTTTTCAGGGGAATCGCCTATGAATGGATTACTGATTGTTATGTCTGAATATTCAGATAAAAACAGTATAGCCATTGTAATGTTAACATAATATGATACAATTGGAAAAATTGCTGCATGAATTAATTAAAATTAATAGTACCTTATTATTATCTATGGACTGTTAATGAAGGAACATTCCAAAGTGTATTTAGGACAAAGGAAAAAAAAATAAATTACAGAAAATACCAATAAAGCTAAAAATTTAAGTATATCTCAAGCAAACTTTCACACTTCAGAAGACTTTAAATCTATGAATCAGGATTAAACAGAACGATACTCATTCTGAAAGAAATAGTTCTTCTTTTAGGCTGATGATACACGGGGCAACTTTTTGAGCAATGTTGCCGCCAACGGGCAACCAGGTGAGGCACAGGGCCTCATCCATTATCCATTCTCAATGTGAAAGTGCCCAAGCAACATTGCTAAAAAAAAAAGTTGCCTGGCAACATTGCTCAAGAAGTTGCCCCGTGTATCATCAGCCTAAAACTAACCCAAACAAGATGGGAGTTTTTTTGAGTGAGATATGTTTTTGTTCATACGGACAGGGATGGCAGAAGGGACAGGGATGAGATAGAATGATTGGCATCCATCAATAAGCATTTGCTTATTAGTTTCTTCTTATAATATTAATTTCAGACTGCTTTAAGAAGATTACCAATATGACACTTCAAAATGACTCGGCGTTTGATGGGGACACTCAAAATTAGGCTTGCTGCGATAGACGGTGTTTTCGGTTAAGCCGCAACACCGGTTACTTCATTTGCCTACCGCGGCACCGCCCCCCACCGTCGTTTTGATTTTTTTATAGTAACAAAAATCATTTAGCCTAGTTCAGTTAGAGGACAGACACTTTTAAAACTAAACGCTCAATGCAGCGTGCCGAACCGTGCGCGAACGACAGTGCACCACGGAGCAGGAGTCAGATTTTATTTATCACGTGAGGAGAGTGAGTCGAGCTGACTGACAAGAGTGAGGTGAGAAAGACAAGACAATGGCAGAAGATTGTTTAGAAAGGAAATGCAAAGGCGCCTGTTTAGCAATATTTTAGATTTTGAAAAGCCTATTGACTGGAAGTTTTTTTAAACATTCGTTTCTTATTTATTTGGTTCCACAGTGTTTGCGGATTACTTTATTTAAACTTTGTGTATTTTATTTATTTTTATTTTACATCAAGGTGTATATGCTGTGCTTCCAAGCTTTCTTATTCGTTTTGCTCATAAACATTCTGTTTCTTATTTATTTGGTTCCACAGTGTTTGCTGATTTTCAGTTTTATATACCTATTTAAACTTTGTGTAGCCTAAGTAATTTGTTATTTTATTAGGCATATATGGTGTATTTTTATTCTTTTTGTTAATAAAAGTTCTATGAGTTTGACGTTGTTGTTGCTTGAATTGAATCAACGCGGAATTGCTGCTAATTTGAAAGTGAAGGTAAAATGCGCACTGCACTTTTTCAAGCTATTTGAAAGCCAAGAAATCCGAGGAAAAGGGAAAACTCAAACGAACAATTGCTTGACGCCGAATTGCGGCAATTCAATTTGCCGCTGAATTTGAAAGTGAAAGTAAAATGTGCACAGAACTTTTACAAGCCATTTGAAAGCGAAGAAAAGAGGGAAACTCAAACGAACTAACACAAAAAAAATAAATTACCCCACCCCAACGGTGATACCGGTTGTCATATATATATATATATATATATATATATATATATATATATATATATACACATATATACATATATATATATATATATGTGAAAAATATAAATATTGAATTGGGGTGGTGGGTTTATATGAATGCATCTCTGAGGGGAACTTACCATCTTCAGAAAAGTTTTGATGGCATTTTCTTTTCCACTTACCTCCGTATAATGCATATTAAATTAGTGTTTATAAGCGCAGCTGCTTTGTTTACAGTGGTAACCAAGGAAACGCTGTATCACTGCTGTTCCATTAGCGCCACCTGCTGTCAGAGAGTGAATTAACATTTTCATTCAGTCAGTCTGCTGTTTTTGTTTTGTGCATGTCTTATGTAGCACTACTGTCTAATAAATGAAAAAATCCATTTCATGTTTTACCGAACTTGTATCGAACTGTGACCCCAAAACCGAGGTACGTACCAAACTGGGACTTCTGTGTACCGTTACACCCCTAATGCAAACATTTAGATAGAATAGAATATCCATGTGGATATATCCATGGCATGTGGTGATGCCCATTTTGGAAAATTTTGGATTAGGTAGTTAATCTATGAACATTATATTTGCTATTTTTAGTAGCTCCCCAAATATGGTTACAATGGTATATGTTATGAGGATATACCGCCGAGTCCTTAGATGTTACACAGAAATTCGTTCTGTTTGTGTTTCATGAATGAGGCCTATTGGTCGAAGACATGGCCTGGAGGGCAGCGCTTGTGTAAACAGAGACAGCCGCCTAATGTACCCTGCTACATGATGAATGGCCTCATCCATCAAAGGCAGAGCCCCACCATCCAACAGCGAATCAGCTTCACTCTTAATGTGCTGCTGGTTTGATGTATGCTGTTTATTTTAATACCGTCTCCATATTTCAGTGAATACCTACATTCCCCCCCTTTTTCTCTGCTTATAATGAAATGTGATGATTAGGCTCTAAACAAAAAGGTCTGAACAACTGCCACTGCAACCAAAACCGCTCCCGCGTCTTGCTATTTTAGGACACAGAGTAGCAAAAACAAATCATCCTGATAAATTAGGTCCTTTTTTAAAGAACGCATACACAAAAACAACCACAAGACACCGCCTAAGTAACCATGTCAACACGTCCTAGAGTAGAGCATCTGTTTCAAGGAAATATGTTCTAAACTCAGGTCAATTTCTCTTGCACCAAACAGTTCTGTGAATACATTTTTTGGCTACTGTAAAGAAATTAAACTTCTGTAATCATTTACTCACCTTTTTTTCATCCCAAACTCATAATACTTTCATTCATCTGTGTAACACATATGACATTTTTAATGAACTTAAGAGATTTCTGTCTGTCTATTGAAAGTCAATGCCCTTTCTTGCTTCAAAATGTTTATAAAGAATTGATGTAATCCATATGAATCGAGTGGTTTGATCCAAGTCTTCTGAACAGACACAATCACTTCATATGATGAACAGATATACATTTTTTTTTAAATGTAATAAAAAATTGATCAACATACTAGTGTTGTCTAAAGTACCGGTACTTCGGTACGAAGTCAAAAAATTATTTTTTAAAGGGGTCATATGATGCGATTTCAATTTTTCCTTTGAAGTGTTACAAGCTCTTGGTGCATAAAGAAGACCTGTAAAGTTGCAAAGACTAAAGTCTCAAATCCAAAGAGATATTCTTTATAAAAGTTAAGAGTCAACCACGCCTACCTAAAACACCCCCACCTGTCTACGTCACGATGTGGAAAGATTTGCATAACGCCACCCAAATGTTCGCGCAAAGAAAGAAGGCGTAACTTTTATTCTCGCTGTAGTAATGTTGCTGCCACCATGTCGTGAAAGCGCTGTGTGTTTCGTTGTGAACGCGAAACTACTTTGTTTGGTCTTCCAAAAGAGGACACGACTAGAAATCAGTGGTTAAGTTGTATTTACAACACTGTTCCAGAACAGTTCAACCCAAATATTCAGATGTGTGCAGC